ATTTACGTCAGACAGAGAGAGAGAGAGAGAGAGAGGGGGGCACGCAGAGAGAGAGAGAGAGAGAGAGAGAGAGAGAGAGCACGCAGAGAAAGAGAACACGCCAGTTGACTCAACGACAGACTTTATGATAAAATGCGCACGCGCTAAGCATTCGCCCCCCCCCCCTAATCATTTCGTGTTTGGATACTAATTTAAAATCTTAGATAGTTTTAAAAATGCCGTACATAAAAAACACATTCAATATAGCTGTCCGGTTTCCTCCCACTGCTAAAGACCCCTACGCGCAAGCGAATTATTTAAATAAAACTGCACTATGTGTTAGTCCCGAAATTACCTAGTTTGTGTCGAGTGGACGTTAAAACCAATCTCTCTCTCTCTCTCTCTCTCTCTCTCTGATATTGTTGAGGGGAACTCCCGCCCCTAACACGAACCGTCTCTTTAATTAGAATAGTAATTATGTTTCATATTATGTGTTTGAGTTTATTACGTGTGTCTATTACTAATTAGTGAAGCCCAACGTAGATTTTATAATTCACTATACATAAACCCTAATTTAAGTTAGTCCCGAAATGACCTAGTTTGTGTCAAGTGGACACAATCAACTGACATTTATGTACATTGTAATGAGTAACTGTATTATTATATTAAATTTAGCTCATTAAACATACATTATGCAAGAGCTAAATCTGCCTATTGCAGGTCTTTCTTTAGGCCTGAAATCTTATCTAAATTATTAATTAGACATTAATTAACTTATCCAGACCATAATCAACTCTCGATGTCAAGGCTAGCCTTCAATATCGGCTGGATTAGAATCCTATATGCTGCAAACGCTCATTGATAATTAAATCAAAACAATGGATAATCGAGACTATGCTTTTTAACGTACTAACTTTAGTAATGATGAACGAGGCTAGGCGGAAATTTACAAAGCTGATATATCGGTTCATAGTGGACCTATTTGACTGAAATTTTCAACAAATTACCTTTAGATTATCTAGTTTTTAATTATTATAGCGAAAACTGTCAGCTCTTTATCTTATCTCCCATAATGTATCTTTAAATTTATGTGACAGTTGTGCTCTCTATCAATGATAAATAATAAATAATAATAAAGGGAATAAACTCGATACATTATTAAAACTATCGCCTTTCACCCCAACAAGTTCATAAGGCATTTTAAATAATATATAGATATATGTATACCACCAAGTTAAATTGACAATAAACAGAGCTGTAGTCTCAAGCTGTGTATAACAAGCCAGTTTGTAGTGAAAATCGATTGGTGTGTCAAACATGAAAATTTGTAGATATAAAACATGTGATTGTCGACCAACATAGTAATTTCAACCACTAGAGACACCATAAACTATAAACCAACCTCATCAACTAAAAGTAAGTGTAGGAGAACCGCACTACATACAAGACAAACATGCGGACAACAAATCAAATCAACTAAAAGTAAGTGTAGGAGGACCGCACTACACACAAGACAAACATGCGGACAACAACTCAAATCAACTAAAAGTAAGTGTAGGAGGACCGCACTACACACAAAATAAAACCGATAAGACAAACCCGCGGACACGAAATAAATACCACATATCAAATCCCACCAACCATCAAGTATATTATAATGGAATTTCGATCATCATTTTGTAAACATAATTCGGTTAATTTGAGACAACAAATGTATGGCAAATGTTCTGTGTGCAATGCGATGGGTGGGGGATGTTGCAAGGGGAGCGACGTCGCCGCCAATTTTTCTTCGAATTCCAAAAGGTGGAGAGACATGGGGTTTAGTTATGTCATACCGTGTAGGGGTCCTTAATAGTGTGAGTGTGATGAAACCGGGAGACCCGGAGAAAACCCACGAGGTAGGACAGGCGACCCAACTCCTTGTCACGTACAAGCGGATAATCGAAACCACGCCAGTTGACACAGTTTCATTAAACAAAGACACAATTTAAAAATCTGTTGTGACAAATGTCTGATTTGTAAAACAAATATTGACTTTAAGATACAAATGTTGAAATACGACAATAAATGAAGAAAATATGAATTAAGAATTAAAAATTAAGAACACTATATAAAGAGCTGTTTGGTCTTCCATACCGATCGGTATTTAAAGGATTGTAGAATCACTTGCGAACTACATTACTGTGGAAGTTGAATCTTTTAAAAAAGGAAGTCATTGCAAAAATGGTTCAATTCCGTTCAGTATTAAAAGATAAGAATTGAAAATCTGACTACATTATTATTTCGCTGCTGGTGATATAAACAGGATAGGATCAAAAGTGAGCGCCAAACGTAATCTTCGCAACAGATTTTAATGGGCTTCGATTTTTAATTCAATTGAACCCATGCCTGGAGATTGTCTACCAATATTATTTTGATTTTGTTTTCTTACTTAAAGGAGCTAAATCGCTAACATTTGGGATCTAGAAATTGAGCCCAGTGGGTCGCAACGTATTTAATAATGTAATCTGATTGTATATGAACTGATTTACATTCAATTGTTTCCGTTTTGTCTCTAATTTAATGTTAAATTGCAGCGTGGATTAAGTATGCATTATTCAAGAGCTAAATCTGCTTTTTGCAGGTCTTTAAATTTGGCTTCAAATGTTATATAAATATTATTTAGACATTTATTTACATGGCAAGCCTGTAACCATCTCTCTAGAACATTGGATGAGGCATATACATTGACGTGCACGTAAAAGATCCCTTGACAGTTGTAATCCGGTATAAGAGTAGGCCGTAGTGCCGCTGTCCGGGCAAAATTTCCCTCATAGCACACTGTATGGCGTGTGCCCGTCTTCATTAGCCCAGTCATAGCAGAACAGTAGGACGTTAAACCCCATTTCATTGGATAAGATTTAAACCGATTGAAATGCGATCGTCAATTTAATGATTTAATTAAAAAAAAAAAAAAAAAAAAAAATGGAAACGCGAGGCCGAGTCTCGATTAACAAATAACGTTGCTACGGTAATAAACAATATTTGAAACATTTTGACAAACTTCAAACATTGATATCTTGGCTCAGAATAAAGTAATTAAATGTTCAATATATTAATTTTGAATTATCTTTGTTTGGAGCTATTATAGCAAGAACGGTCAGCCCTTTATCTAAATCGGGGGGGGGGGGGGGTGGCTGAATGGTTAGCATGCGCGCGCTGTATCATAAAGTCTGTCATTGAGTCGACTGTCGTGGTTTCGAATCATTTATGTTCGCCGAAATACGCCAGAAGTCTCAATCGAATGGCAATATCTAGAGTCTGGTTATTCCAGTCTACACCGTTAGTATTTATTGCACATGCTCTCCAGATAAGAATACGACGTCACCGTTTGACATGACTTGTGGAATATGTCTAGTCTCGTTCTTCGAGTCCCTTGTTACAAATAGCGCTGAAACACATTATGGTACACCATTCGTGTACCAATAGTAAAATGTTTGTTTTGTCTTAAATATTGGATATCAAAAGCCCATGTTTTTCCCGGTAAGATCACAACATCAATGTTGATTTAGATTGACAAATAATTCGTGTTTTCACTGTCGAAGACTTTGGATGATATTGAGTTAGAGACTTAACTACTTGAATGACTTATGCCGTCGTCAATAGGGGGGTTGGATGGCCGTATGTTTAGCACGTGCGAGGTGTATCATAAAGTCTGTCATTGAGACAACTGGCGGGGTTTCGAATCCCCGGTTGTACGTGACAAGGAGTAGGGTTGCCTGTCCAACCTCCTGGGTTTTCTCCGGGTCCTCAGGTTTCCTCGCACTGCTAAAGACCCCTATGCGCAAGCGAATTATTGAAATTATTGAACCATATATTAGTCCCGAAATGACCTAGTTTGTGTCGAGTGGACGTTAAACCCCATTTCTATCTTTCTCTCTTTTATCTAAATCTTATATAATACATCTTTAAGTCGTGGATAATTTGATATATCTACCAACGTTTGTACCAACGGGTTGCTATTACAATAGTATAATAATATATTATGCAGAATAATAATTTAATATCTAAAAACAAAGACTCATTTTATGTATAGTGAATTATAAAATCTTCGTCGGGCTTCACTTAGTAATAGAACCACGTAATAAACTCAAACACATAATATGAAACATAATTACTATTCTAATTAAAGAGACGGTTCGTTAGGTACGGGAGTTCCATCAACAATAACAGAGACAGAGACAGAGAGAGAGAGCGAGAGAGAGAGAGAGAGAGAGAGAGAGAGAGATGGGTTTTAACGCCCACTCGACACAAACTAGGTCATTTCGGGACCAACATATGGTTTCAATTTTATTGCAATAATTCGCTTGCGCGTTGGGGTTTTAGCAGTGGGGGGAAACCGGATGACCCGGAGAATTATTGAAATAAAATTGAACCATATGTTAGTCCCAAAATGACCTAGTTTGAGTCGAGTGGACGTTATAAACTCTCTCTCTCTCTCTCTCTCTCTCTCTCTCGTAATGAGCATTAGCACTGTTTGCTATGTGTACGAGCTGAACTACTTACTAATTTAATATTTAAAACCAATGAATAATTTGGTGTAAACTAAATGATAATAGTTTTATAATTATAGATTATCGTATTACAGGTATTATAATGGTCGATATATTGTTAATTAAAACAAGTCATGACACCTTGAAACCATCGAAGCGTGAAGAGAGTTACTTGGATGATCTTGTATTTTGATCTCTGATATAATCTCGGTGAAGAATAACATTATACACATATAAACTCAGTTCGTTGTAAGTTAAACCTCGAGTCACTGGGAAACAACAACAGCGCTTCTTCCATTACGGCTCTTCATACAGAACTAACTATAGCGACTGCTACAAGGCTGACGGCACTGTTATAATACAACGAATGGACTGCTCCAGTGAATAACATGTGCGAACTGTAAACGGCTAGTTATATGATGTCGGTTTGCTGAAGCTCGTGTAGGAACACAACCCATCTCGTTCTGTCTTTTTCTCATCTTGAATATAATGTTTTAATATCTTATATCTCTCGTAAAAACGGTGCTTTCAAAAGGAGTATTCTTAATATACAAAATGTAAACGAATTCTTGTTGAAAAATGGTATCATTTTGTGCAAGTTTGACGTGAAATGGGAAAACGTGTTCAGTGTGTATGTAAAAATAAGGAGTATTATTATTATTCAATTGTGGTTATCTATTGGTTTTGGGAACGGATTTACCAGTTCTCCTGTAACAGCTCCCGCTCCTGAAGTATCTAGTGTTTGGTTAAGGGCGCGCCGAGAAGCCCGTGTGGAGGGGCTTGTGTGTACTAAAATGACGAGTCGACATTGGAAAAGATTAACTACTTTTTTCTTATTGGGTTTATCTCTGTTGCAATGTTCGGATTGTCTACCGGAACTTCTTAAGATTGGTAAGTAGATTTTAATATTTATTTAATTATTAATGCTGTTAGTTTTTGATCTCTTGCTAATGCTAAAAAAACCCACCATCAAATCCGATTCCTTACACATTCTGTTGTTGTATTTACTGCTACGAAATGCGTGTTTTCAAGTCCTGTTATTGACAATGATTGTCCGCAATTAGAAGACCTAGTTCAGAGTTTTATTACACCAATTACTATCCATAACCTGTCCATTCGGACCATGAGAACATAATTTGTTCTAAGACATAACGTCCAATCCGACCACGTTAACAGAATTCGTTTCAAACGAAACCAGTTCAATCCGACCACGTTAACAGAATTTGTTTCATACGGAACCAGTTCAATCCGACCCCGTTTAACAGAAATTGTTTCAAACGGAACCTGTCGAATCCGATCATGATATCCGAATTTGTTCTGATCGGAACCAGACCCTGATATCCCACCCCGGAACCAAAGCAATCCCACCCCGATTTCATAATTTGTTCTGAATGGAACCTGCACAATCGAACCCTATGAAATCCCCACTAAATGAATTTATCCTCACGCATGACGTTTTTGACATTGATTTACCATTATGCAGTGACCACTTGCGAATGGACATAACACATATTACCAAACGGGAACCATGACAAACAAAGATTTTAAAGGAGTTATTAGCAACATATACCTATTTAAAGTAGCTAAATCGCTAATATTTGGGACCTAGAAATATCAGAAACCCATCTTTACCATGTAAGATCACAACATTAATGTTGATTTGAATTGACAAATAATTCGGGTTTTCAATTTCATAGATGATGTTGAGTTAGAGAATTAGCTACTTTAAATTGACTATGCTAAGACAAATTTTACAAGACACTTGTGCAGTTGAGTCCTCTAAACGGATAATTGATTATAGTTTGGAAACATTCCGTCAACATTGGATCTTTATCTTTGAATTGCCAATAAAATTCGGCTGTTTGTCACATTACGACCCTACTCAACATACCAACGTTCTTGTTTACTTACTATTTGCTAACTTGCGCTTCTCGCTATTAATCACTCACATGCCCTACCTCCCCCCGATAGTTATTGCAGGAAAGACTGCAATTAAAAAAATAAATAAAAAATTAAACAAACACAGACACCACAACCCAATACACAATAGTCGTAGAAAACACAGAATCAATGAAACATAATGAGGTGAAAAATATTTAATGGAAAGGTCAGCAGTCCGGGAGATCCCACGCAACTGCCACCGTTTCATTAAAGATATTTCTTTGTGGGCAAATTGAAGAAACCGTAAAGTTTCCTGTAGGAGACCAACGTAATCATAAAGTCCATTGTTATCCCCGTTGAAGAGACCAGAGAGTCTCATATTGGGCCGCACTCCCCGTTAGCTTCACCACAGAATAAGACCCGCAGAATCTCCCCACAGCCCTGTTAAATGAAATCATAGAACTCACCATTAGCTCACCAAAAATCGCCAGGGTATATCATTGGCGCCATCAAATGAAGCATAGCGTTTATCATTGGTGCCACCAAATGAAGCATAGCATCTATAATTGACGCCACTAAAGGAAGCATAGCGTCTATCATTAACCCCACCAAATGAACTATATCGTCTCCATTGAGCTCACCAAACAAACCTCAAGAGTCTTTTGTTGGCCCACACGAAAGGAACCCAAGATTTCCCATATTAGTCCCAACAAAGAATTAGAGACCCAGAATCACCCATTAGTTACGTCAAATGAAATAATCAAGTGTCCCAACTATTGGACGTCGCCCAGTCTGATTAAAACACAGATCCTATTTCGTTTCGTTTTTTATAGTTCAAAATTAAAGGCCATCGAAATTATAATAAAAAAACGAAACGAAATATAAATCGGTATTTTAATCAGATTGGCGTCGCCCAGCATCACTTTCCCATTTCTTTGTTTATGGTTTATTTTATATAAAATTCCAAGGAAGTGACGAATAAAACTATCACTGTACCATTTGAGGAATGGCTATAGCACGAAAAGCTTTTCCTGGAGTATCAAGTTTGTTGCTCTGGGATTAATTTATTTGGATTAATTTATATGATGAATATCATCTAGGAGGAAACAAATTAAATGATATTTCTATGAATTATGATATTTTGAAACAGTTTTTGATATTTTTGATATATAACTCCGTTTGTTATTAATCCTCATAAATGTTTTATTTTATAGAACACATTATTTTTATTACCCAAAACAAAAACTAGGATTTTTATTATACGATTGAGACGATTTACTCAATACTAATACTACGCAATACTTACCCAATACTACCCAATACTACCCAGTACTACCTCAATATCTCCACCACCCAATACTGCAACATAATGATGAAAAATGGGCATATTATTTGATCGAACGATATTTTGTATCATATTATTGCTTACCGTGTCCAGGGTCAGATTAAGACCTATAGAGGTCCTAATCACTTGAAAGATTTTGGGGCCTCCGTATATTATACAATTAAAAATGTAAACAATCACAAACCATAAACAATCCGTCAATCACGTGATTAGAGTTCCAATGAGGTTTTATACACGTCATTATATTGAGACAAAGAAGGAAACGGTAAGAAAAGACAAAAAAAAAAAAATAATAATAAAAAAATGATTAAAAGTTCCTTTTTAAAGGGACAATAACACTCTTGCTGGCTTGACAGCTCCAAAAAATAAAAAAATAGCCTTGTTCTAAGTACTAGATGTGTTGGTGTTCACCTGTTGTGTAAATTATCCATTAAATCCTATTTTACTTGTCCAGAGGGTTCAAAAATATTTTTAAATCCAAGTCACATTTGAAAAGCTTTACGTCAGGCTTTTCAAATCATTTAGTTGAATTTTTCCAATTTTTTAAATTAGGTGTGTTAAGATGAAATTTGTATCATCAATTAATTGGAATATTGTAAAATAGTGCAATTTGTTGACCAGAATAAAGATTGGGACATATTATTCAGTTACAACAAGAGTGGTATTGAGCCTTTAATTTTTAAATTAAATATTTTGAATTCATTATCCAATAAAGCAAAAATACTGTGATGCCTCCTATCAGTGATGCTTATTTTGCTTAATGGTTAGTCGTTCGGATGGTACGAAAACACGAGGTCCCGTGTACACATTGGCGTGCACGTGAAAGATCCCTTGACAGTTGGAATTCGATATAAGAGTAGGCCGTAGCGCCGCTGCCCGGGCAAAATTTCCCTCATAGCACACTGTATGGCGTATGCCCGTCTTCATTAGCCCAGTTTAGGAGCAGAACAGTAGGACGTTAAACCCCATTTCATTTCATTTCATATTTACAATGTTGTTTTGTTTGAAACAGCATATTATTTACTTTTTGTTCTTCGGCGGTGATGCATGCATGGCCCATATCTGTTTCACAGACTATGACGAATGTATTCTAATATCTCTGTAAAAGATGACTGCCTTCAACACATGTCGTCATATCACGCGGCGTCAATCATTGGCCCAAAGGCGCGTGCATTGTTTCATCAGACGTTACTGATTCGAGCAGAATGGCGCCTTTTACTCATTTTGATATCCATTTACACTACACTAGGAAATAATTTTTACCTACAAATACGTTATTGTTCTAATACATAAAAAAAAAAATGTTTTAGAATTTAATTTGTCGGAGGAAAAAAGTTAATATTTAGAGTTCATTATGTCTTATCAGTGATTGTTGCGGCCTAGCGAATATTCACTGCGGATCAATGTGGCGTGGCCCATATGTAGATGTGGTGTATAATGGTTAGTTTTAGTCAGCCATCTTGAAGTGTGTGTTTATGTTTATGTGGTTGGTTTGTTTGTAATTTGTGAATATTTTATTCTCAAATTGTCTTTCTGTAAAGGCGCATCTGACATGAGGAGGAAAAACAAAGAGTTAAAAATTAAAATTCGTACAAAGAATGTTTATGACAGAAAAGGGGTTTTGGTGGTCTAGTGTTTTAACGCGCGCGCTGTATCATACGGTCTATCAATGAGTCAACTGGCGTGGGTTTGATTCTCCGTTTGTACGTGACAAGGAGTAGGGTCGCCTGTCCAACCTCGTGGGTTTTCTCCGGGTCCTCCGATTTCCTCCAACTGCTAAAGCCCCCTACGCGCAAGAGAATTTTTGAAATAAAATAGAACCATGACCTAGTTTGTGTCGAGTTGACTAACATATGGACAGGTCATAAAACAATTTAAAGAATCTTTGTTTATCGTTTGTTCAGTATTTTACAATATTTAAATGTACACGTTTACTGTGAGTAGACGGCTTACTTATTGACCAGCAGAGATTTTGCAGGGATGCAGGATGGAAGGCGTGGTCATTAACAGACTCTAGTTGTTCGTATGGAACGAAGACTTCGAGAACACTTGGCAACTGGTCTTCGACGATGAGTTGGCTAGGTGGAAGCGGCCCTGTCCGGGAAAAATTTATCCCATAACACACTGTATGACGTATGCCCATGTTCATTATCCCGGTTGGTGTAGAAAGGTAGCACGTAAAACCCCATTTTATTTGATGCAGATTCCGTCGATATGTTACCGCGTTAGAAACAGTCGATGAGTTATTTCTGAATTGTATGGTGCAGGTAATATTGCCCAGTGAGTCGTATCTTAGAGGTGTACAATCTAATCCAATATTACAGGCTTCACGTGATTCTTTAAAGATACATTATGTAATAGCTAAATCTACCTATTGAAGGTCTTATTATTGATATTATAATATTGTATAAATTATTATTTAGACATTTATTCACATGGCAAACCTATAATAAACTATCTAGAGATTTAAATGGATTTAAACAACACGATCAGCATTTTTCTGATTGAATTAAAAAATTAATGTGTATCGAGACTGAATCTTGATTAACAAGTGTCGTTGCTATGACAGTAAACTATTTATGCCACATCTTGTCAAAACTTCAAACACTGACATTTCGCTCAGAATAAGGTACTAATTTGAGAGAGAGAGAGAGCGAGAGAGAGA